CTATGAGTCACAAACGACTCAACGGCACATAACAACAACAATGCTAACTAAGACAGACTGCTGCTTTCTTAATATTATGTGAGATTTGTTTGTTTTGGGTGGTTTTATTTTAGTAGATGTTAAGTCCTTGTAACTATATAGTGGATGACAATGTTTTGTGAAAGGCTGTGTATTTATGTTTCCTTCTTGGCCCAAGGCCTTCAGAGAGGAGAGGCAGTGCCCTCCACCCCCCAAAGTACCTTAATGGAAAACCAGGAGCCTTGGTTTTTCCCTTCCAGAACTGACTCCTCTGCCTCCCTCAAGCTGCTCCAGCTGTCCTGCTCCTTTTCACTTGAGCTTAAGGGGTTCTGTATGATATAGCAAAATAGCAGTGATCTCCCCAAAGTACCTGAAAGGGAAACCAACAAGCCTTGGCTTTTCCCTTCCAGCACTGTCTCTTCCACCTCACTCAAGCTGCTACAGCTGTCCTGCTCCCTTCCACTTTAGCTTAAATGATCCTGCATGGTCTAGCAAAATAGCAGTGATCCCCGCCCCCAAAGTACCTAGTTAATTGATTGGAACAGATCTATGATTACTGACAATGCACGTATGACTTTTGTTTTATGAAAGCTAAAATTGCATCAAAATTTAAACTCCTGGAGCCCTTGGTATACCCAATACCTTTTAAATACTCTTCAAAAAGCTAAAAACTGGAAATGTGTATGGAATTTAGTAAGAATAGTCATATTTTAAAATAGTTTTAGGCAGCATTTATGATTTCTACAAAATTGAATTTGTTGTGAGATTTCTCTGACTCAATGTGGACTGTTCCACAGGCTATCCAAGTAAAGTAATAGGTCTGTAATTTACACATTCTAAGGTTCTGACTCTAAGGTACACAGAAACAAGGTACAGGATATGTAAAATATATATTCCAGATAATTTCTTCATTTGTAAGGACCCCTGATGGCATAGTTTTGAGAGGTCAACCATTGGTCAATTGTTAAGAAACAGCACTGAAATCCTGAAGGCACATGGCTCCAAAACCAGTTGTTGTTGTGCACGAGAAAGATGGGCAGTCTCTACCCATGGGATTAACTGCCTCTGAAAACATGCTGAAGAGACAGCTATAGGTCAATTCTGGCTTGACAGTACACAAAAACAACAATAACAAGTCATTCCACAAGACAGAGGTGGACAATTTGCTGCCGTGAACATTTACTACCTCAGAAACTGAATGGACCGATTTTACTCAGTCCCATAGAGTTGTTATGAGTCTCAATTTGTCCAATGATACTCTTATTTTCAAACAATGCTTTGAGTTAATGAGAATATCAATCTAATGATGTTTTTTGATGTCGTCAAATCAACTCCAACTCTGAACAATCATATGTGCAAGAGAACAAAACCCTGCTCAATCCTGTACCATCCTCATAATCTGCTGGGTTAAACTCACTGTTCCAGTCATTGGGTCAATCCATCTTGTTGGCAGTCTCTTCTCTTTTATGACCCTTTACTTACCTAGACTGATGTCCTATTGCTATAGTATTTCCCACTCTTGTGATCACTATGCATTCAAAGGTGTACTTGAAAACTTTAGGATGATATTGATCTATTGTGTACAAAAATTTTTTAGACTTGACAAACCAAACTCTCTTGATGACACACTGTCTCTCAATACTCTTGATACTTGCTCTATATTTCTGTTCTCTGGTTCTTGGGTTTTATACTGTGTTGATATCAACTTTAATCCTTACTTACTTCTCTTTGAAGTTTCTTCAACTTCTTGACTTCTATTTAAAAGTTTCAAGTCTACTTTCAGAGTACCTCTCTGTTAAAGGAGAATTAATGTGTTAACTGATTTTTCTCTCCTATAGGAAATTCCGGACCCCAGAAGGTTGCCACTGATAGCAAGTTGGAATACCTACCCTCTCTTTTTTGGAACTGCCATTTTTTCCTTTGAAAGCATTGGTGTGGTAAGATCTGAATCCAAATGGACTTTCCTTGGTGCTAGGGAGCTATAATGGTTTAGCCACACTGGTGGCTTAGTCACTCAAAAGTTGTACTTTTCTGGCTATTTGAATCCACCAGCAGCTCTAAGGGAGAAAGATGACCATTTTTTCCCTTTCTCCTTTCTGTCTTTTGAGCTTTGTTTTGAGGAAAATTTTGCCCTTTTATTATCTTGTAATTGATTATACAGAAGAAATTTTCCTCCTAATGTTAATATTCACTTTATGGAGTTTAATCATTTTTCTCTTTATTGTTATTTGAGTAACTATTTACAAAGCAAAGAAGTTTTTCATTCAAACTTTCATGCACATTTTGTTCTATAACATTTATTTCATTACCCACAATGTAATCACGCTTTTCCTACTTCCTGTAATTCTGATTTCCACTAATCCTTCTATACCTCTCTATATCTTCTTTCTTTATTGAGGGTTATATAATATTTTAAAGTAAAACTAGTAGACTGTACAATCTATTTTACAAGGTTTCCTTAAACATTAAGGAATCTTCAGCTGCAAATATATTTTCAAAAGTCTGTTAATCATTAGATGACATTAGTTAATTTTAAAAACTTTTTGCCAGCCTAGTATTCCCAGGACAAATACCACTTAGCCATGATATAGTATACATTTCCACATACTAGAGTAGTCAATTTGCTAACATTTGCTAAATTTTGGCATCAAAACTCAGTGACATAAAAGAGCTGACCAAAACAGGGACTTGTACACCAATGTTCACAGTAGCATTAGTCACCATCGCAAGAACATGGAAACAGCTCAGATGTCCAACCACAATGGAATGGATTGAGAAATTATGGTACATTCCCTCAATGGAATACTATGCAGCATACAGGAACAATGATCTTGTAAATTACTACCTAACTTGGGAGGGACTGGAGAGCATTATGTGCTAAGTGAACTAACTCAGTCTCATAAAGACAAATACTGTATAAGACCATTATTGTAGAACAGGTACAAGGATCCAAGGAGAGTAGAAGGAGGCTTAATAATAGGGTTACACAATTTGATGGGTGGACGAGGGATAGGTAAATGAAGGGGAAAGATGCGGTGTGAAAAATGACATATACAATTTTTATGAACTTTGTATGCAAATCTGTATAAAATTTTAAAAAAAAAAGCTTACCAGAAAACTTAAAAAGGCAGCTCAGGAAGACAAAGCAAAGTATTACAATAAATGTTGAAAAAGCTGGAGTCAGAAAATAGAAAGAGAAAAATTCACTCAGCATTTCTCAAGTTGAAAGAACTGAAAAACCAATTCAAGCCTTGAGTTGGAATAATGAAATATTAAATGAGCAAAATCTTGAATGATCAAGAAGCTTCAAAGGAAGATGGAAGAAATATACAGACTCACTGTACTAAAAAGAACTGGTCAATACTGAAAAAGTTCGGAAAGTAACACATGATTAAGAATTAATAGTAATGAAGGTAGAAGTTCAAGCTGCACTGAAGGCATTGGCAAAAAAATAAGGCCCTAAGAATTGATGGGATACCAATCGATATGATTCAGCTAACAGAGGCAGTCTTTGATATGCTTACCAGTCTATGCCAGGAAATTTGGAGGACAGCTGCCTGCCAACTGATTGGAAGAGATTCATATTTGTTCCCATTCCCAAGAAAGGTAATCCCACAGAACATAAATATTATCAAATAATATCATTACTATTACATACAAGAAAAATATTGCTGAAGATCCTTAAAAACTGACTAGAACAGTACATTGACATGGAAATTCCAGAAATTCAGGCTAGATATAGAAGAGGCAGTGGCACTAGCAAGATCATTGCTGATGTCAGATGGATCCTGACTGAAAGCAAAAAAATACCAGAAGAATGTCCATTTGTGTTTTGACTATGCAAAGGCATTTGACTGTGAGGATCATAATGAAGTAGAGCTAAAATTTTTAAAAATGTTATTGTTATTGTTGTTGTCGTTAGGTGCCACCAACTCAAACACAACTCATAGCACCCTATGAACAAAAGATCTGAACCCTGCTATATCCTGTGCCATCCTCACACATCCTCACATCCAGACACACAAGAGCCCATTGGAACAGTCATCATATCAATCCAACTGGTTAAGGGTCTTCCTCTCCTTCACTGACCCTCCACCCTTCCCAACATCTTGTCCTTCTCTGAGGACTAGCACCTCCTAGCAACATTTCCAAAGTTTGTGAGACAAAGCCTCATCATTCTTGCCTCCAAAGAGCACTCCACTACACCATCTCCAAGACCTATCTGTTCATTCTCTTGTCTGTCCATGAGGTGTTCTGTGTTTTTCTCCAACACTACAGCTCAAAGGAATCAATTCTTTTTCTGCCATCTTATTCATTGTTCAGATCTCAGATGCATAGCTTGCAATCAGAAAGACTATGGCCTGAACCAGATGCACCTTAGTCCTCAAACTGACATTATTATTCCTCAATAATTTGCAAAGACCCCTGACTACAGATATTTGCAGTGCAATGTGTCTCCTTATTTCCTGACTGCTAGAACGGAGGGTGTTAATTGTGGACCAAAGCAAGATGAAGTTGTTGACAGTCTCAAAAACAGATGCATTATTGCTTTATACACATTTAGAATCACTAGGGGTTTTGTAGAGTTGGTTTGTGGTAGAGTTTTTTTCCTTCTGAATTTCCTCTTAGTCATTGTGCAGTGTTCCTTTTTAACCATAATAAATTTCATTGTTTTGAAATCTATTTTGTCTAACATTAACATAGCCACACTTGCCTTCTTTTAATTTGTATTTCTGTGTTATGAATTTCTCCATCTCTTAAATTTTTTGAGATTAAAATTTACATAACATAAAATTCACTACATTACCGCTTTAAAGTATACAACTCAGTTACTTTCAGTCATCCACAATATTGTGCAACCATCACCACTATCTCATTCCAAAGCATTTTAATTTCCAAAAGAAAACCCCTAGGATAAAGAACTTAACTTTGCCCAAAGAATTATATCTTTGACTTTGAATTCCCCCAGTAATCTTAAGTGTTGTTTTGTTGTACCTAACCTAAAAGATTATACTAATGATCTGATTCTTAGATTAAGACTAGCCAAGCCAGGAAAGTCCACTTCCTACCAACCTGAAAATATCCATCCACCATAGGGGAAAGTATTGGAGTGGTTGGGGTTATGGAAATTTTATGAGATTTCTGGTTAGTTTAACCTGGACAAGGATGCAGATGTAAGGGTGTTGACTGACTTTGGGGACATGGAAAGTATATTTAGGCACCCTCCATGCATCTTTTTGTTTGTTTTACTTTTGCTACGTTTTAAAAAACCACTAACAATGAAACTCCCTATAATCCTAAGAACAGTTTCTATGAGTTCTGCTCATTATGTTCACAAAGTACTTACCCCCAAGGAGCAATGTGAGCCACCTGGTAAGAAATTAGTGGAATTTCTGGAGATTGCTGATTTTATCGCTGCTATTTTGAAAGATGGACATTTGTAGCCGGGAGGACAGAAGTGAGGATGTTATGAGGACGCGAAGTGTGCTGCTCACATTTGAAGTCATGGACAGACTTGACAGTTGAGAGGTCTTAAAAGAACACCACCTGGTCAGCATGCCAGGCGTGAACGTTAGCTGTAACACTGACACCTGTCAGGAGTTCTTTCTACTTTTTTACTATTATGAACAATGCTGTCTGAACATTTGTATACAAGTTTTTGAGCATCTGTTTTCAATTCTTTTGACATGTACTAGTGGTTTTAAGGAACTTCCAACTGTTTCCACAATAGCTGGACCATTTTGCAGCCCAACCTACAATGTATGAGGTTTTCAATTTATCCATGTCTTCACCAATATTGTTTAATTTCTGTTTGAGCTTTTAAAAATTATTGTTACAACCTCTTATATGGACTGAAGCCCAACATCAAGAAAACAAAGATTCTCACCACTGGGCCAGTTGGCAGCATCAGTATGGATTGAGAGAGTTAACAGTTTTAATTTACTTGGCTCCACAATCAGCACTCGTGGTAACAGCAGCCAGGAAATCAAGAGACGAATTGTATTGGGAAAGTCAGCTGTGAGGTACTTCTCAAGAGTACTGAAGAGCAACAACGTCAGACTGGAGACTAAGGTGTGCCTGATCCAGGCTATAGGCTTTGCAATTATGTGCTATGCATCAGAGAGTTGGACAGTGAATAGGGATGATAGAAAGAGAATTGATGCCTTTGACCTATGGTGCTGGAGAAGAGTGTTGAATATACCATGGACTGCTAGGAGAACAAACAGGTTTGTCCTGGAGAGGGTGAAGTCGGAAGGCTCTTTGGAGTTAAGGATTCTGAAGCTTCGTCTGACATATTTTGGGCATGTTGCAAGGAGGGACTGTTCCTTGGAGAGGGACATCATGTTTGGCAGAGTGGAGGGGCGACGAAGGAGAGGAAGACCCTCGATGAGATGGATCAATTCTGTGACTGGAGCGATGGGAATAAGTGCGTTTGAGATGGCTAGCTTGGCACAGGATAGAAGAACATTTAGAGCTCTTGTACATAGGGTCACTATGAGTCACAAGCGACTCGATGGCACATAACAACAACAACAACA